TGTGTGTGTGTGTGTGTGTGTGTGTGTGTGTGTGTGCATTGTGTATCTGCTTGTTTGTGAATTTGGCAAAGCATTGTTTATTGGTGACTCATAGTAAATGTCATCTGTCACAGATGTATGCATTACTTATTAAAATGGTGCCTAAGTCTGTTCGTAGTTGTGTGTGTGTGCACATACTGTATGCATGTGCTGTTTCCTGGACTGTGTGTGTGTGTGTGTGTGTCTCACACACACACACACACACACCTGGCCATCCATCACTGTCTCGTCTCTGAGGCAGCAGATGTTGCAACCCCTGTCATAATTCTTTGGCTGTTTGAAAGCAGACAGTGACATTCAGGCCCCTGGGGTCTAACCTACTTACTCTGCAGTCTTCACACATTACTACAGCCTATCATGGCCTGATGTGTTGTCTCTGTGTGAATGAACATTACACTGAGTTTAGCTCTGTGAGCGATGATGTGTGAAGGTCTTTATGCTCATTTAAAGGTAGATACAGGAATATAATTTGAGGTTGAGATGACTGGAACCTTTGCTTAGATAGACAGAGAGAGAGAGAGAAAGAGATCCCAGATAAGAACTACTTATAGTCACAGAAGCCAGATTTGACTTTTTAGTTTGATCCATGTCCCATCCACTAACATGGAGGAGGTAGGGTTTATGAAATTAATGGCAGCCAGCCACCAGGAGACAAGAAGAAGACAAGATGTCCATCTTCTTATAGCGTGCAGGGTTATATGTAATGACTACAGTATTTATTATTTCACAAATGGAAACGTGTACTGGATAAAACAGTATCAACATCATTATAAATGAAGTATTTGCCTCATGAAATGATATAATACTCTATTTGTCTATGGAGCCGCTTGTCTCTCACATCATCAGCTGCTGGAGAATAAACATGTTGCACATTTTATTCCAGACATAACTCCTCAAGACAGCAACACTTCTCATCGCAGGATAAAAAAGGAGAGCACAGTTTCTTGGAGGAACAAAGACTTGCTTAGCGTCTGAGATTTATGTCTGTAGCACAACGTTGTAGATATGTTATCAATTTCCACAAAGCTGAACCCCCGCCCCCCCCCCCCTATTTGAGGAATTAAGTTTTTATGTCATACTTAAGACTTGAACAGTGGAAGAAAAGATACTTAATCTGTATTTTTATTCTGCTGAGGATGTAATAAATAACAGAGATGGTATGAAATAAGAGAATCAGAAGCAGTGCTGCATCAGTTTGACTGATTGAGCTGATAAAGCGTCAGTTCTAATGCAGCACTGTGCTCTTCAATAATACTTTCCTGTGTAAATCAGCTGGACAGAAAGATTTCAATTTAAACTATGCTATACTTTAATGTGCTGAATATACTAAAGTGGAATTTACTATATTTTTCTGTCTTCTATCTTCAATAAGAATTGTCAATAGTGGAAACTCACGCTGTTTAAATATAGCCCTGTTGTTGGAGGTCAGTCTTCCTTAAAGCTTCACCTCTCCGCCGAGATCCTTCTCCAGTGCTGCTTCACTCTCGTACAATTTCCTCGGGCCTCAGACCAGGTGCACACCACCATCATCGGGCCTAATGAGCTGCCACGGCATTTTAAACAACCTTCAATTACACTCCGTCTTTACAGTGACAGTGATTTGTCGGCAGCAGTTACGGCTACTTTCACCCGCTGTGGGTTTTCTTATAAAAACTCTCGTGAAAACATGGGAGGAGAGAGGGAGGGTTACAAGGCTGAGTATGGACTCGGGGAATAGTCTGTGAAAGAACAATAACATGTTACAGGTGCAGCTGTTAACGTGATAACTAACCTCACACGTGTGGACGGAGGAGCGGGGACACACCTTCTCAAGCTCAGACGTATGTCGGGACGTGTATGTGTCTCTTCCTGCAGACATGATATACGCTCTTCAATTAAAATACCTGCATGTTCTTCATTTGAAGACAGCACAGGTGCTTTGAAGAACGGAGAGTGAATCGATAGCACTTGACACAGAGCTGGTATCATTTGTAACCTTGCATGAGTAACTCTTTTCGTATGGATCTCCTCTGACAGTTCCTTGAAAAGGGGAGTGTGACTGGGTGCGGGACTATGAGAGCGGACAGCACCCACGTGTTTCTGATTTGTGCTGAGCTTGTTGTTTTGATTTGATGAGCTGTGTGTTTCAGCAGAAGGGATGAGGAACCACTCACATGTGGTGGACTGTCCATCTCACTCACTAACCTTATCCCTCTGTTTCATTCTTTACAGTAGTGAAAAGGACATTCACTACTCACTGGGTGTGCAGCTTCAAAGTCTTTGTACTTAACTCACGTTTTATGCTAATTCATAATTCCTGCATTCTGACACAGCTGCACAATATTGGTTTGAACCATGTGGGTATGTGTACAAAATAATTCAATATCGCATGAACAGATTTTCACCAAACTTGGTGTAAACATTACTTTGGTAGGTATCACCACATGATTAACTTGTGGAGCTTATTGGTCAAAGGTCAAGGTTAAGGTCATTCTCATATCACACACACACACACACACACACACACACAC